GTGTGTGTGTGTGTGTGTGCGTGTGTGTGTGTGCTCATTTTAGTTTAACATTTTATTACACCATTGTTGCACCAACACAGCTGATGAGCTGATGTATCACAATCAATGCTGTTTTGCAATTCTTGTTGGTCTCAGCATCTTTTACAGATGCTTCACAAATACAGAATTTGATTTTAAACGTGCTGATCTTGTATTAGTAACAAAATGAAGAAGGATGCAGTTTTAAAATAGAATAATCAATAATAATTATAAAGTTATTTGCTCATTATTTGATTATTAGCTTAGATGAGACACATATCTACTGATAGCCAAGCTGATATCAGAAGGTTCCAGATATCACTCACATAACTGAACCGGTCGCTCTCACCCTCCCTGGCAGCCACTCTGAACTGATCAGTTTTTCCGTGTTCAAGACTCCTCTCACTCGTTTTAGGTTATCCCTGGCTCCAGCAACATGATCCCAATATTGACCGGAGGAAAGATTACATCTCTGGGTGAGGAGATGATTGTCACACGAACTGCTTTGATTACTTGGTGATGCCATTCGGGTTGGATAACAAATTGTTTGTAAAAGGGAAGAATTGTGAATTCCATGTGAAAACGGTCTCTTTCCTGGATTACATCATTGAGCAGGGGAATCTCAAGCCTGATCCGGTTAAAGTTCAAGTAGTATTTGACTGGCCCAAGCCTTCTAATTGAAAACAACTCCAGTGCTTTGTAGGATTCACTCATTTCTATCACTGTTTCATCCGGGACATTAGAAGAATTGCCTTGCCTCTCGCTCACTTGATTTCTCCCACAGTATTGTTTCAGTGGGACCAGTTAGCTCAGACTGCCTTTAACCACCTCAAGAAACCCTTCGTCTCTACTCCTATCCTATCACTACTGGACATAACACGCCAGTTCATCATGGAGGAGGATGCCTCCGACCCTGGGGTGGGAGCTGTGCGCTAGAAAGACCATGAAGGTAAGCTCCACCCCTGTGCTTACTACTGTTACTCCTGCAGAACATAACTATGAAGTAGGGGACCTGGGAACTCCTAGCCGTAATGCTTGTCTTGCAGGAGTGGCGGCACTGGCTCGAAGGAACTTGAAAAACATTCATCGTCTGGACCGATCATAAGAACCTGCCTATCTGCAGTCCGCCAATTGGCTAAACGCCCGACAAGCCACGTGGGCTCTGTTTTTCACCTGTTTCAACTTTTCCAACACTTACAGGCCTTGTTCACGCAACATAAAGCCTGACGGGCTCTCCCGGCAATTCTCGACCTCTGAAGACACTCCCAAGAATCCTGGATTCTCCCACGTACCTGCATCATGGGAGCGGTGACCTGGGAGACCAAATCAGCTATTTGGGAGGCTCAGTGGTTGGAACCTCACCCTGTACCCGGCCCACCAAGAGACTTTATGTTTCATCCTCTGTCCGGCCTCAGGTACTCCACTGGACAGATAATACCAAGTTCACCTGCCGTCCAGGGATTCACCAAACTATCTCCTTCCTTTAACACCTCTTCTGGTGAACACCGCTGGCCAAGGACACAAGGTAGTATGTTTCTGCCAGCACGACCTCAAAACAAGTCAAAGAGCTCTCCCCCCATTGGCCTGCTTCAACTTTTGCCAACCCCTGTACGACCGTGGTCACACATTGCCCTTGACTTCGTGACCGGTCTACCTCCCTATGCCAGGAACACGGTAATTTTGACTATCTTTGATTGCTTTTCTAAAGTGGCTCACTTTGTGGCCTTATCTAAACTCCCTACAGCCCAACTCTTCACGAACCACATCTTCCGGCTCCATGGGATCCTTTGGACATCATCTTTGACCGTGGCTTCAGTCCCTTACATTCATCATCTGCGCAGGTTTTGCTGCCTATGGAGGGCCACCTGAGCTGCTCTCCTTCCAACCAAGGAACAGAACAAGCAGCTGGCAGACCGACATCGGACCCTTGACCTTCCCATTAGCCCAGCAGAGGGCTAGTAGAATCTGGAAAGATTCTAGAAAACTGGCTCTCAACCCTCCTAACCCTGTTTCTGCCTGTCTGAAGTTAACTCGCAATATGCACATGCATGTTGTCTTCCAGCTCAAACCTTACCTCTCTAGTCCCATTGTGACTGGACACTCGAGCGAGTGTGTCGTGAGTGAGCGTCAGCATAGATTGCGAGTTGGACCTGTGGGTGACTGTCTTGGTGAAGAGCTTTTGGACGTGTTTCCCTTTCCTCGATTCCCTAGAGCCCTTTCCCCTTAGCCACTGTATAAAGCACCAGGTGTCATTCTGTAAATAAATCCACTTTAATCGTAACCCTTCAGAGTCCTGCAGTTTGAGTCCTGCATTTGCAATATGTTTCGAAGTAATGTAAGGTACTGCATGACCCTGATGAAGGCCACAAGCCGAAACGCGTTGGTCTATTATTAAAGTTGTTCATCTTCCCTCAAGTGTTGCTGGAGTTCCTGCTTTGTGAATACTCGTCAGTTTTCACAGTCAGTCATAGTTTGTTTATAGTTTCATGTTTGCAGCTGCCTTCAGCCTGAATAAAGGCTCACTTTGTGTTGAAACCAGCTATACCTCTCTGCATCTGCTTTTGGGCCCGTTCACAAAATACCCCAGCGCAGCCCACCGTGACAACTTCCAACATGCACAAACATTTGACCACACAGCATGCAGTTAATTTGCATGAATGTAATGTCTTCTAGTGGTGAAGCCGACCTAAAGACCACCCAAATAGTCGTCTGATAGGTGAGCCACAGTCTTGCTTAGCCTCCCTGTATTCTAAGCAGGTACAGAGGATGGCTTTATCAATCCTTAAAAATGGTTCCCATCCTCTAAGGGGTGAATTTCAGCTTCTTCCCTCAGGACGGAGGTTTCTATTTCCGAGATGCAGGACAAAGCGTTATAAAAATAGCTTTGTCCCTGTTGCTGTCACTGAATTAAATAGGAACTGTTTTTGATTCGAAATATTAAAATTACTATATATGTGCCACAGTGAGCTTTATATATTTACTAGGTATGTGTGTTTTTTTAAAGGGATGCCAAATGCTGTCATTTTTCTGTAAAGCAAATTTACCTTGTCTTTGGGTATAAATAAAGTTACCTTGACCTTGATAGAACCGACAAGAGAATCGATAAGGAATTGAATTGATAAGTGATGTTGATAATGGAATCAGAATTCCAAAATTCGTATCAATTCCCATCCCTAGTTGGGACAAGGACAGAGAGCAAGTAAAATGTACTGAACCCACCTCTGGTTTCTCTGGCAGGGTTTGCTGGCACATGGTTTACTGAGGTGGCACGGGCCAAAGACAAACTGACTGTCCTTGAATCCCATACATCGAGCAACGCAGGCACTGGGATATGTCCGCCCATTAGAGGCACACACTGGAACAAAGCGGTCCTGGCAGCTACAGGGAAGACCTAGGGGAGGGCAGAGGGAGACAGAAACCACTATTTCACTGAGAAGCGTGACTTATATACAACCAAGAGTTAACAGAAAGCTAAAAGAAACAATTTGCTTTAAGGAAAATAACCTGTTAGGGTTGTATTCTAATCCATCATACTCTCCAAAGTAGAGGCAAACATCTCAGAATACTGGGGTTTAGTTCTGTCCATGCCTTGCTTTTTAACCCACCGGATGCAATTTTAGCAATCTAATCATAAACCCATATCTCTTTTTTTTTTCTTTCCTTTTTTTGTGTCCCGTTTGGATCTTTAGCCATCAGAATTGTTGTCTTAAGGCCAAGAAAGATGCCAAGCGGATTTATTTTACCAAGTGGATCATCA